GAAGACGATAATCAGGCATCCGCACAAAATATACAGTGGTACCTCGTGTTACAGACGCTTCAGGTTACAGACGCTTCAGGTTACAGACGCTTCAGGTTACAGACTCTGCTAACCCAGAAATAGTGCCTCGGGTTAAGAACGTTGCTTCAGGATGAGAACAGAAATCATGCAGTGGCGGCAGCGGGAGGCCTCATTAGCTAAAGTGGCACCTCAGGTTAAGAACAGTTTCAGGTTAAGAACGGACCTCCAGAACGAATTAAGTTCTTAACCCGAGGTACCACTGTATATGCAAATATACAGGTTGTGCACAGCCTATGCAACAGAGGCACAGCTTGAACACTTCAAAGTCCACAGCCCCCACATCAGATCTCCAGAGAGACAGTCAACACTCTAAGTTGCCCACACAGCCCAAGCTCAGCCTTTGTCACTCTCTCTCAAATTGCAGTCACAAGCACAACCCACGGTGCTTCCGGATAGCCTGTTTATTGAGCATTCATTCCGATTTGTTTGTGGGGGAGATTCTTCAGCGCCTGGAGACAATCGGTCAGGTTGTGTAGCAGTGTCCAGAGAAGGAATGACCGCTGGAAGGATCGCAGAAAGAAACCCCATGGTGCACCTGCATCAGCACAACCAGATGCCCCAGCTGCAACAAAACATGTCTCTCCCACATTGGTCTCTACAACCACAGCAGGCGCTGTAACTCTTCAACACTTTGACTTCACCTCTAAAGGCACACTTCTCCATTGTCTCCCAAGGCAGATAGATGCCAACCAGTCCAGTCCAGATCATAGCAAGCATTATCCCATGCTCTCCAGAGCATTTTCCTGCCACAAATAGACCGATCTTTTGGATAAAGCAGATTTGTTGTGCATGAGTTTGCAGTCAACCATAATTGCACAACCTTAATTTGCTGCTATGTGGTTGAATCCTACCTGAAAATAGTGAAAGCCTGGAAGTACCTCTAGATAAGCGTTTCCCAAACTTGAGTCTCCAGCTTGCTTTTTTTTTTTTTTGGACTACAACTCCCATCATCCCTAGCTAACAAGACCAGTGGTCAGAGATGATGGGAATTGTAGTCCAATAAAAGCAGCTGGAGACCAAAGTTTGGGAAACACTGCTCTAGATTATACATCATCCTTAGCAAAGGGTGGAAAAAAAAGAGAGAGGACTTAGCTATATTAGTCAAAAAACGACTTTTGAATGTGTTATAAACATACAACACCAGATGGAGCTGGAGAGTAAAAAAAAAAATATCTATGTGATTTTCCAAGGCATTTTTTTCTTTTGTTATAACAATTTTATTTCTGACTTATTTATAGTGTTTCCCCCCCTGTGTATAGATCCGTCCAGAGAAATGTATCCAGTTCTCAGTTATTTCCAATCCACTGAAAACCATCAGCTGATTTCCCTAAGAAAAGGAAGATACTTGGCAACTATGCTAGGGCGGTTAAAGCTGTCTCTGGCTCCATTGATTACTGTCCCAACCCACAGCCTCACAACAATATTAAAACATTGGTACATATCTATATAATGCTTTTGCAATCTGCTCAAAATGGCTTACAATCTTCTGAGAGTGGAGCTAATGGCTGGCATTGCATTTATGGAGCGGCTCCTCATGGCTGCTCCACCTGCCTTTTTATAAGGCTGGAGGAAGTGCAAACACAGGCTGGGTGGGTGGTTTCGAAAAAAAGGATTTACAAGCAATAATTTTTCAAAAAAATAATGGGGAAAACAAGCAATGCAGAAAAAACAAATGGTGTGATGCATTTCAGGATTGTAGAAATCAAAAGACTCAGATGCAGGCATGGGAAACCTTCAGAAATTGGTGGAACTCCAATGGATTCCCTATCCAATGATCAGGGAAGATGGATGTTGCAACACAACAATATCTGAAGATCCACAGTGTCCCCTTCCTGCTGCTCTAATGCAAAGACAGTGGGACACAGGTGGCGCTGTGGTCTAAACTACTGAGCCCCTTGGGCTTGCCGATCAGAAGGTCAGCAGTTCGAATCCGCATTACGGGGTGAGCTCCCGTTGCTCTGTCCCAGCTCCTGCCAACCTAGCAGTTCGAAAGCATGCCAGTGCAAGTAGATAAATAGGTACCACTGCAGCAGGAAGGTAAATGGTATTTCCATGTGCTCTGGTTTCCATCACGGAGTCCCGTTGCACCAGAAGCGGTTTAGTCCTGCTGGCCACATGACCCGGGAAGCTGCGGACAAACACCGGCTCCCTCGGCCTGAAAGTGAGATGAGTGCTGCAACCCCATAGTCACCTTTGACTGGACATAACCATCCAGGGGTCCTTTACTTTTACCTTTTTACCTGATGCAAAGACCCAAAGAGTTGAATGTAAGAACTGGTGGTCAAGGATGAAGAGACGCATCCTGCTTCATCAACAGAGCCTGGATGAATATCCGTAAGCCTCTAGAGCAGGAGTCAGCAAACATTTTCAGCAGGGGGCCGGTCCACAGTCCCTCAGACCTTGGGGGGGAACTACATTTTTTGGGGGGAAATGAACAAATTCCTATGCCTCACAAATAACTCAGAGATGCATTTTAAATAAAAGCACACATTTTACTTATGTAAAAACACCAGGCAGGCCCCACAAATACAGTGGTACCTTGGGTTAAGAACTTAATTAGTTCTGGAGGTCCGTTCTTAACCTGAAACTGTTCTTAACCTGAGGTACCACTTTAGCTAATGGGGCCTCCCGCTGCCACTGCGCCGCTGCCGCACGATTTCTGTTCTCATCCTGAAGCAAAGTTCTTAACCCGAGGTACTATTTCTGGGTTAGCGGAGTCTGTAACCTGACACCTCTGTAACCTGAGGTACCACTGTAACCCAGAGATGCATTTTAAATAAAAGGACACATTCTACTCATGTAAAAACACACTGATTCCCGGACCATCCGCGGGCCAGATTTAGAAGGCGATCTGGCCGGATCTGGCTGCTAGGCCTTAGTTTGCCTACCCATGCTAGAGGCACACCTGCGTCAGAAATGCCTGTGAGCTCACAAGCCTGCTTCGGCAGAGCACTCTTCCTTGCTGGAACATAAGGACATAAGGAGAACCTATCACCATGTCCATACACATAGAAAGGTCTGCAGTCTGAAGCGGATCCTGGAAACCTAACTTCAGTATGGACAAGAAGACTTTCCCCCATTCCCTCCATTCGTTCGAATTATGGGTGGAGTGATGGAATTCTGCTCCGCTGCTGAACCATGAATAGTATCTGATGAATGTGAAACACATATATCCGCATGGAGCTACAACGACAACTCCCAAATCACCATTGTGAGGAATGTGCAAAAGCTCACTTCTGTAATGTGCAAAGGGGCAGACTGAGCATCTTTTCCCCGTCTCAGGTGCATACTTGAAGAAGCATCTATGTGGATACCAGGTAACCTTTATGCATCCTGCAAGCTGCATACACAAGATGCAAGAGGCGAGATGCAAATTCCCTCATCTGTAGCATCATCCCTGTCCTCTTTTGCATCTGGTCCACCTAGTTCAGACTCCTGGCTGGCTGCTCTTCCCACCTCCTTGGCTATTTCACTCCCCTTTCAAAGGCACAATTGGAACAGGAAGAGAATGAAACAGTAAGAGATTACTGTGTTACTATTCTACTACAATAGTAACACAACAGGAGGGATGCGGGTGGCGCTGTGGGTTAAACCACAGAGCCTAGGACTTGCCGATCAGAAGGTCGGCGGTTCGAAACCCCGCGACAGGGTGAGTTCCCATTGCTTGGTCCCTGCTCCTGCCAGTTTGAAAGCATGCCAGTGCAAGTAGATAAATAGGTACCGCTCCGGCGGGAAGGCAAACGGCGTTTCCCTGCGCTGCTCTGGTTCGCCAGAAGCGGCTTAGTCATGCTGGCCACATGACCCGGAAGCTGTACGCCGGCTCCCTCGGTCAATAAAGCGAGATGAGCGCCACAACTCCAGAGTTGGTCACGACTGGACCTAATGGTCAGGGGTCCCTTTACCTTTAACACAACAGGAACGTGCATATATTTACATATCAATAGTGGCCAACACTCCATGCATCTAGGCCAGGGGTGGGGAACCTTTGGCCTTCCTGATGTTGCTAAACTACAACTCCCATCCGTCTCAGCAAGCATGGCTAATGCCCAAGGATGATGGGAGCTGCATCAGGAGGCTCAAAGGTTTCCCACACCTGATTAAGGCCATGAAAGCTATCAGGCAGCAATAAAACATGTACTAATCTTTACAGTACCACCAGGTTCTTGGCTGATTTTTGCTGCAGCTCAGAGCAAACCTGTTGAAATCAGGGCATTTCCGTAACTTTAGTCTTGATTTCAAGGGGTCTGCTCTTGAGTGTGACTTAGCTGGGGGGTCACTCCAACAGCATTTCCCTACTCAGAAGTAAGCCCCCATAGAGTTCAACGGGTATCACTCCCAAACAAGGGTGCACAATGCTTTTTAAAAGGGGGCCTTAGCATCAGCTTTGCATGCGTAAAGTTCCGGGTGCGTTCTCCGGGATGGACTGGGAGAGATCCGCGCCTGAAATCCTGGAGATTCCTGTTGCCACTCAATGTGGCCAACGCAGAGCTAGACGGGACAACTGTGCGACTCAGTTTCCTATGCTCCTGAGCGTGTGCAAAGTGCAAAGTTCTGTTTCCTTCCTTCTTTCGTAGCCTTTCCCCAAACACAAATCGGGCACCAGGGATGCCCCCACCAGAAAAAAAAAACCCTTAAAAAGGACTCGGTGCTTAAAGACGGCCAAGATTGACGCAGGCCAAGTCTGTGTCAGCCTGTACAGCGCCGAGCACACGCTTTGCCCTGATTAAAGAGGCGTGTGCGTGTGCATGCGCGCACACGTGTGTTTGCGTTGTCTTGATCAAGACGGAGCCCACTCTAGCTCGGCACCGGACGCGGGAAGGTGGGCGCCAAGGCCGCGTCGGCGATCGGCGAAAGGGGGCGGGCGATCAGCGGGGCGGCGCCCAGCGAGTACACTCTCCCGGCCCGCCACCTGCGGCTCCGCGCTTCCCTTTCTGGTCCCTCCTTCTTCCTTCCCTACCTGGCCGCGGCCACGTCAGGGGCTCCTGCTGCCGCCGCCGCCGCTTCTGCTGCCTCTCTCTCTCTCTCTCTCTCCCTCCCTCCCTCTCGCCCGATCGCTCGATCCCTGCTCTGGGACCCCCCCCCTACCCCGGAGGAACCATGATCTCCTCCCGAGGGGGCGCCATGCCGCCGCCCCCCAACGCCACCGCCTACTACCCGCCGCCGCGCATCACCCTGCCCTCCGGCTTGGAGATCCTGCGCACCTACTCGGGGGCCTTCATCTGCCTGGAGATCGTAAGTGGGGGAGCGCGGGTGGGACGAGAGGCTATCGGGGCGGCAGCAACAAGTGGGAGGCAGAAAGAAAGCACTCCGGGATCTCTCTGCCATGATTGTGCCGAGGGGTTTTTATGCAGTTGTGTTGCCTCGCTGGGCGCTAAAAAAACAACCACCACCACCAGTTGCAGTTTTTAACATTGGTTGAAAAATATAGGTTTCCCATGCATGTTTTTTCTCTTCCTAGCACTTCCCTAGCAAAAATCCACCAGGTGACATGTCTGTCCCACACCTGCCCCTCTTCGCCTCTCAAACCAGGGCACATAGTTTGCTGGAATTCAGCAAGATGGATCCCCACCTTGAGTTCTTCCATGGAAGAAAGGTGGAATACGTGTGTGTGTTTTAGTGTGTGTGTGTGAGAGAGAGAGAGAGAGAGAGAGAGAGAGAGAAATATCTAAACTGACACCAGGGTGAAAGGTGTACCTGTTCGATTGCCGCTTACCAAACACAGCTGTTAGTCATGAGATTCCCTAACCACTTCTTAGAATTGTGTTTATCTATTCCCTCAAATCTTTCCTAGCTACAGCTTTTCACATTTCCTCCTTGATTTGGATTTTTAAAAAAATTATATAGTCTTCAATCAATGTTCCATGTTTACTTGGTCTTTGAAATGATAGCTGCATTAGGGCCAGTTATGGGTTTAAATCATGCGACATGGCTTCATTCCTGGAGCCCCCTTAATTGCTCACTTAATACTTATTTCTCTTCCCAACCCTACACGTCTTGCTTGGACCCATGCCATCTTAGTTAAAAGCTTCCTGTCTTGCCTGTATAAGCCCCACGCTGAATAGCAGCAGCTTCCCGGGGTCTCAAAGTAAAAGTCAGAGATCTTTTAACCAGGAGCCAAGACCTTAACCTCTGACATTATGCATGCATCCAAAGCTCTGCTTCTGAGCTATGGCCCTTCCCCACAAATCTCCCCCTTCCCCACCCCCATCCAGCCTTCCCAAGGTGACCAGATGCAAAAGAGACAGGGCACTCCACAGAAGAGGAAATTTCAGCAGGTGTCGCATCCCTCCACCGCAACGCTCTCATCCTGACCAGTTCATACACCCGTTCCATTCAAGGTTAACCGGCTTGTTGCCAAAGCAGCCGCAGAATGTGTGGTGACAGCCAGTCTTGGGTGTGGCTCATCGCAACTACAGATTGCAACCTTCTTGTACCATGGATAGCGAACTCTGCCTGCCCAAATGTGGTTGGACTTAGCCCTAGCCAGGATAGCTAGTGGCTGAGGACGATGGAAATCCACAGGTGGTCCACAGGTTCTCCAGACCTCTTCTGTGCTATCATAGACACTGCTAAGCCAGGTTTAGTTTCAGAGTTCCCCTGGCACGGCTCCTGTAATGGCATGCAAAAAATCAAGAGTGGCATTTCCCGCAGCAACGAGAAAATTTTCTTCCTTCTATGCAGCTGTTAAAATCCATAGGAGCCCAGCCAAAAAACCGGGTTGGCAACCTTGTTTATTTTCTTATTCTCACCTGTGTGGATGTACCCAGTTTTCTACACCTTCCTCAGACACACCCACATTACAGGAACACCTCTCCCTACTATTCTCACCTGCTCTCATTATTTCTCGGGATCATGCATGCGCCTTCCTGAACTTCATTCTTCCTCATGCGCTCAGCTCCACAATGCTTCCACTCCCTGTTACCCACATCCCTGGACCTGCTAAAGACAAACACTGCCCCCCCCAAAGGAGTTTAATGGTAGCCCATGAAGGCGCTTTAAATCCAGAATGTGATTCACAAAATGGACATCATATACCATTTGCCTAACAAGCCAAACTGGAAATCCAGTCACAGGCTTCCCTCTCTTAAAACCTGCCATTTAATTGTAGGGTAGATTCATTGAACTCTCTCCCACCGCTGCTCATACACAAATAATTTCAGTAATGGATTTCAATCTGTTCTCTCCCTTCTCTTTAAAATTCATGTTTCCTGTACAAGTTTGCATGCTAATTGTTTGCTGTAGGAATTAAAAAAACATTAAAACGCTTGCTGGTTCACAAGTAAATAAAGTACATCTAGACTATACTGAAGCGATCCATACGCTGTTTGTGTGGACGGTTGTCTCTTGCACTCCAGATTTGTAACTCCTTAGAGACAGGGAGCAATTGTGAAATCAATTGACTTTTGTGTTGCTCTCTCTTGGTAGAGATGCAGGGATATGGAGCAAGATTGCCTGCTTGAAATCCAAAGCTGCAAATTCCTATGCAAATAACCTGGGTGTAAGCCCCATTGAATGCGCTGGGACCTACTCCCAAGTAAACATGCATAGGATTATCTTGTATGTGCCTAGAGTTTTCCAGAATAAGCAAGTGATTAAGAGCAGAACAGTGTTTCCCTCTTTGAGATCGAAAGTAAATTCCCTCCTTGTTTGCTTAGTAGGGTCATAAATATTTAGCGACTGGGAAGCGAACACCTTGCAGAGCCCAAGTTAGACAGAAGGCGTAAAACAGGAGCACAGGATCATGCAGATAGGTGGCGGAGTTAGTGAATTGTCCAAGCAAGATCATGGACTACTGCAGTGTAGAGAACCCTTGGCCCTCCAGGCAGTGCTGAACTACAACTCCCAACAGCTCTTGACAGCATTGACCAGGGATGATGGGAGTTGTTCAGCAACAGCCAGAGAGCCAAAGGTTCCCCCGCACCTGGTCATAGAGCCATGGAATTGAAATGGTTCTCAAAAACCATCTACTTCCACCCCCTGCTCAACACAAGAAAAACAGATCTGGGGCATCCCTGACTGATGGCTTGAAGACCTATAGTGAGGTACAGCCCACCAGCTTCCTAAATAATTGGGAAGCTGCTCTTACCATTAAGAAGTTTATTACAAGGCCTAACAAACCCAGGACAGTTCTGACATACAGCAAGTATGGACAGAAGGAGCACACAGTTTGGCTGAAATTAAACAGGTGCGGTTAGTACCTGAATGGGAGACTGTCTGAGAGCCCTGCGAATGTCTCCTTGAGCTCCCTGGAGGAATAGAGAGATAGAAGTATGTAATACAACGGGTTTGCGCTTAATTTCTGCCTGCAAAAGTGTTCTTGGTGGAAATGGTTCACCAAAATGCCCTACCTTCTTTGCAGCTGGCGGGTTCCCCCTTCCCTGCTGCTCCTTCAGCTCCGCTCTTTTCTCCAACCAATCAGCTATCACACAGCGAGCACGATGACACCCCAACTCCACGTAGCCCACGAGCGTATGTCCGTTGCTGAGGCAGCCAAGGCAAGGCTCCCTGGCAGGATGCAGCGATTCCTCTCACAGCATGACAAGGATCATTGGTCCAGTTGCCTTGGCAACAGGGACATTTCTTCTCATGCACACCCAAGGCACTCCTGCACCCTTTCCTGCCTTCCCTGGAAAAAAAATCACAGGGGGAAAAGTGTGCTTTTCAAGGTGTGCAGAAGCACTAGCAAAAAAACCGAGCCGTTTCGTTTTGACTTAGTCCTACAAAGTACTCCCTGTTTCCTCTTCCAAGCGTTTGCTTTGCCCTTCGGAAGGGGCTGAGAACGACCACCCTGCAGTCTGTGTCATTTGATCCCTGGCCAGGAGAGTACTGGATCCACCATAAACCAGAGGATTAGTGGGTGGGTGGGGAGTGCCAGAGGACCCATGGCTCCAGGCGTGGATTTTTGAGGGGGCAAATCTTGGGCTTAGGTATCCTGGGCCCAAATCGTTCAGGGCTCTGTCTATCAACACAAAAGCCTTGAAGCTGGTGCATGGCATGTGCTGCCCACATCAGTTGTCTGGCTATTGCTTCCTATATTCAGAATGGAGTGGCAATGCTCCAGGAAGTGAGGGAAGCCTCACTTCTGGCAAACGGTGACTTTCTGAAGTCCGGGACGACACATATTTTGTAAATACAGTGTGATTATTGTGCACATACGTTTCGGTTTTAAGACCTTCTTTTGTTTTGTGTTTTCCTTTTGTGTTCTCAGCTGTTCGGAGCACTTGTCTGGATTTTAGTATCTGCCACCCACGTCCCTCTGCCGCTGCTGCAGGGCTGGGTGATGTTTGTGTCGGTGACGGCTTGCTTCACCTCCATCTCCTTCCTCTGCGTTTTCCTCTTCAGTTACAGAGAAAGAATCGCAATTGATTGGAACCGTTTGGTAAGCATTTAAAAGGCAGCACATTGTTGTTGTTATTAAATAGAAATCAGTTAATAGTGTTTTCAGGGGCTGTAACATTCTCTGGAAAGTTGGACCCAATTTGCAGATGCAGTCTCAAGTTTGTTAGCAGGTACAAAACAACAAAGCTAGAAAAAACACATTTTATTTATTTGATTTCAACCCCACCTTTTGTCCAAGGAACTGAAGGTTCACCCCTCTCTGCATGGTTCACCCCTCTCTGCATTTTACGACATCCCTGTGGGGTAGGCTAGGATAAGAAGCAGAGAGTGGCCCACGGCCACCCAGTAAGTTTTGAACCTTGTTCTCCCAGGTCCTGGGATCCCACAGGAGAGAGAGTGGTCTAAACCACTGAGTTTCTTGAGCTTGCCGATCAGAAGGTCAGCGGTTCAAATCCCCGTGATGGGGTGAGCTCCCGTTGCTCTGTCCCAGCTTCTGCCAACCTCGCAGTGTGAAAGCATGCCAGTGCAAGTAGATAAATAGGTACCACTGTGGTGGGAAGGTAAACGGTGTTTCCGTGCGCTATGGCTTCCGTCATGGTGTTCCATTGTGCCAGAAGCGGTTTAGTTATGCTGACCACATGACCCAGAAAGCTGTCTGTGGACAAATGCCAGCTCTCTCGGCCTGAAGCAAGATGAGCACCATACCCAATGGTCACCTTTGACTGGGCTTAACTGTCCAGGGGTCCTTTACCTACCTTTTAGTCCCCCTAGGGCTCTTAACATTTACAGCTCAATATTTTGTATGTTTTCACTCCCAAGTAATGGATGCATAGCATTGCAGCAGTAATGTATAGGAGCAATCAGAATTTACTTAAAATGTCCCTCCAGTTAAATCAAAGCAGATAGATATAGACATAGACTTAGAGGTATAGACATAGATGCTTTCTTTTATATAAGTACCTCCCAAAGCCATGGATATTATTATTTAATACTATTCTAATGATTGTTGAATGTTACTTTTTTATATCGGTTACCTATTTTAAAGTTATGTTTTATTATCACATTTTTGTATTGCATTAGATTGTTATAAGATGTACATTTTTTCTTTCTTCAGCTTGTAAACCGCCTTGAGTATTGTAAGATAGAAAGACAGTATACAAATTAAAAATGATGATAATGATGATGATGATGGATGATAAACTTCAATTTTTAAGAGAGGTATCCATTCTCGTGTGAGAGGGCGGGGGACATGCCTTTTTTATTAAAGCCTCTACTGCAACATTGGAAAGAAGACTCTCCTCCCATCTTAGAGTGCCTGATTTCTTCAACAAATGCGTAAATTAATGCTGAAACAATTTAGTTTATTATGATGCATGCAAATAGCTCCAAGGTGACAATGTGACAGCCACACTTTCCCATTAGCATTTTGTAAATCTCTGCTTTATTAGGAGGAAAAGTTGTGCATCTTTCACGACTAATTAGCAGTTACGCGGGGCAGAACATTTTCCATTTCATAAATTCATCAGTAACGAATAGATGTCAGTTGCAGATACAGTGTTTGGCCAGTCTTGGCCGTTTCAAAGCTTTTAGCTTTGTTTACTGAGCACAAGTAAAGTAAACATGCTACGTTAGATCGCTTCTAGTAGTCAAACAACGTACGAAGGGCACAACATTGGCTACCTCTCTTCTAGGTCATCAGGGGATGAAACCACCCTTTCAAAGTGAAAATTTTACAGTGCGAATTACCATATTCCAATTCAAAATTTCCTGTAAACTGCACATCACCGCTGATTCACAAGTGTGAGTTCATCACTTATCACATCATGGCTCTTTGCTGAATGTGTGAACTCTCTCAACTGGGAAAAGTGCATTTGAAATGACACTGAGTGGTATGTCTTCTCCTCCCCGTGGGGATTGTTCTGTGATGATTCATTCATACTTATGCAAGTCATAACTTGATGCTGCCATAAGGGAGTGATGAACATACATGTGTTTGGCTGGCTAGTGGATGTCCAGGAAGACTTAAAGCAGCCTTCCTGCGTCCTCAGACATTGTTGGGTTACAACTCCCACCATCCCAGACCATTGCCTATACTGGCTGGGGATGATGGGAGTTGTGGTCCAAAAACATCTGGAGACCCAGTTTTGGGGAAGGCTATATTACTATGGCTGTGAGCATGATTGCTTGGGACGCTAATATTCTGGGACAAGGGTGGACAGAAATTAGCTTCTGATGCAGTTTTATGTCATCTGATCAAGTCCACAAAAGTGTTTTGCTCTTAAGGAAGTCAAACCCTCCTGATGGGTAGCCAGGGTGATGTTCTCCAGATGTTGCATCCGTAATGCCCTTCATCCCTGACCATGAGCTGGGAGATGATGAGAGCTGGAGTCAAGTAACATGGAGCTTTTCAAGCAGAGGTTGGATGGTCATCTATTATGGATGCTTTAGCTGAGATTCCTCCATTGCAGGGGGTTGGTCTAAATCAGTGATGGCCAAACTTGGCCCTCCACATCTGTTTTGGGACTACAATTCCCATCATCCCTGACCACTGGTTCTGTTAGCTAGGGATGATGGGAGTTGTAGTCCCAAAACAGCTGGAGGGCCAAGTTTGGCCATCACTGGACAAAATGATTCTAGGAGTGCCTTCAGACTCTACAGTTCTACGGTTCTACCATCTGGAGGGCACATAGTGTTGCTCTTGAAGTATTGTGGACACTGGATTGTCTACAATGCTGCTCCTGCTCAGAGCAGACCCAGGCAAGTTATTGAAAGTGACTACTTCATGGTCATTCATTCCAGTGAGTCTACGCAGAGTAGGACTAATATGGGCGGCAACCCAGAAACTCTGTGAAGGCTGTGCAAACTAGCAGCTTTCAAGACCGCACTATGCTACAGGGCCACTGGAGAGATTGTAAACCTTTCAGACCCAAATCGAAGCACTTAGAAATTTTATCACTCCTGGGAGTGAACAATTCCATTAGTTTCAATGGAAGCAAATTTCAGCTGGGGATAGGCTTGTCAACACCTACTCCTCAATGTTTACGCCATGCCTGCAGAGATGGAACCCTTGTGGTTTATCTGGGTGTTCCTTCGGTGTTGTTGTGGCATTATATTCATCTCTTTGTCTGTTGTGTGTGCGCAGAGTGGGAGCACTCTGAAAGCACTTTTGATCTGGAAAGCCACAAACACCTCCATGTATGTTTGCATTCATCCTTTCCTTGCTTGCACAGCAAACAAGAAAGGCCCATGGCTTCGCCTGCACAACACACCCCAGTCGGCAGTGCCATGGAGAATTGTTTGCTCGTTTGACCTTTGTTTTACACCAGGCGCTTAATTTGTGTCAGCTATTGCAGGTCCAGGCCTGCCTGCTGTGTATCCCACACCAGGGAACCATTCCTAAATTACGTCGGGCCTTTGCATCAATTTTGCAGCATAGAGTTAGCCATATTGCCATCTTGCCTTTAATCCCACACTTTGGGCTCCTCCATACAACCTGTTTGTTCAGCATTCATCCTGAACCGCTTGCACAAAGCTCATGCACTGGTTAGAGAAGGCCCAGTCTGTATTCAGCATTTGTTTTTATTTGTCTGTGGAGAAGATAAACAGCAATGAGCATTCATGCTCATTTGTTTGTTTGGTGGTTATACATCTTCCCATTAATCCATTGTTAATGACAGGAGGACCATAGCTTGGCGGTAGAGCATCTTCTTCGCATGCACAAGACCGTGCGTTCAATCGCTGGCATCTCCAGGTGGGGCTGGGCGCACCTTCTCCTACCTGAAACCCTGGAAAACTGCTGCCAGCCAGAGTAAACAATGCTGAGCTAGATGGTTTGACTTGAGATAAGGCCGTTTCCTATGTTTATCCCACACTTTATAGCGCATATCCCTGTCATTTCCCTGTCTGCAAAAGGTCTTATTTAAAAAAAGCAGCTAATTTGTTATCCCAGAATCCTTTTTATGCAAACCTACATTTCCTTTGCATAAATTAAAAAAGGACCTACATTTCTTTTGTAGGGACGCAGGTGGCACTGTGGGTTAAACCACAGAGCCTAGGACTTGCCGATCAGAAGGTCGGTGGTTCAAATCCCCGCGACGGGATGAGCTCCAGTTGCTCGGTCCCTGCTCCTGCCAACCTAGCAGTTCAAAAGCATGTCAAAGTGCAAGTAGATAAATAGGTACCGCTCTGGCGGGAAGGTAAACGGCGTTTCCGTGCGCTGCTCTGGTTCACCAGAAGTGGCTTAGTCATGCTGGCTACATGACCCGGAAGCTGTCTGTGGACAAACGTCGGCTCCCTCAGCCTATAGAGCGAGATGAGTGCGCAACCCCAGAGTCATCCGCAACTGGACCTAACGGTCAGGGGTACCTTTACCTTACATTTCCTTTAGCGTGGCTTCACTGAGGTGGGAGCCAATCCTGGTGAGGGAGCTGTTCTCTCTGAAGTTTGGAGCTGTCAGTAGAGTCTGTCCTAGTATGGAGACTCTTCAGTGGTGCAACTGGAATAAATAAGGGAATGGGGCAAAATGTCTGGCAGTCTGGGGACTCAGCTATACAGCTGCAAATAAAACGTTTTAAGTGCAATATCCAATGTTACACTAGGTGGTCAATGGTGAGCCGTATGGAAAAATCAATGTATTTTTTATAAAATGCACAAAAAAGCATGTTCAGAATTTTTTTTGTACGTGTGCAAATTCCACCTGGGATTCCTTGTTTCCGTTACAGAGTGGAGGAGGTAGCAGCAGCGGTGGAGGAAGCCGCTCGGGCGCCTGGGGTGGCGCGCCCAGGGGCGGGGCGAGCCGCCCATAGGGGTGGGGCACACCGCAGGGCCTCCAGAGTCTGCCTGCCTCCTCCCACTCAGTCGCCCTACAGCTGGGGGGGAGGCAGCGGGCGGACTGTTTGGGCAGTGCGGAGCCTGCGTGCCCCCAAGCCACCGTGTCTCTCCCGGGAGAGATGCGTGGCTCGGGCGTGCTGCAGGTCCCATGGTGAGTGGCGTCCGCCATTTGTCACCCCTGGTCACACCTGGGGCGGCCCACACCCGCCACATACCCCTTCCTCTGCCCCTGAATAGCAGTTGTGAGGGGCAAGACAGCTGAGTGGCATAGGGAAGCTAGTGGGTGTGATCCAGAGGTGTCGAGGGCAACAAGAGAAAGAAGTAGTGGGCTTGCTGGCACGGCTGCCATTTTAATTGTCCCACAATGCAACACCCTTTTGGAATGGGTAGGTCCTCATTTTGTCACTTCTGTTCCAGTGGTTTTCTGGTTTTGTCTGTGTCCAAATAATGGTGTGGGTTATTGAATTTGGACCCCCAAAATCTTTAAAAAACAAAAACATGCCTTTCCCTCTGGCAAAGGTTTCCGTCCTTCTACTAGTGACAGAGAACTTTATTGTACTGCTTGCCAAGGGGCAGAGGAAGTTCTAGGCGGGTAGAGGAAATGAGATCATCTACCTTCTGAAAACACCCACAAAGGCCTGCACACACTGGGCTACTCATACGGGATGTATGTGGTCCCTTCATCGGCCAGAAGTTTGAGCAAAGGTGTTGCCCAGCAGACATTTGAAGGCCTAGGAGATGAATGGTGGTCCTTAGTCCATGGTCACTACAAACTGCTTATTGTGCTGCTTGTTTCCTCAAAGGATCCTGGTTCCCTTGTGTGTTCCTAAGACAGGAACAGTAATTGAATTTCTGTGAATTGCCTTGTGGCTTCATCTATCATACTCCAGGAGAATGCCCTTTTATATGATGGACGGCGTGGGTGCCTGTGTGAGGAGGGAAGGCCTTATATTCAAAGAGGATATTGCAGTGGTTCTCTGTGAGATTTCACACAGAGGCACATTATGTACATATTTACACACACACACACACACACACACACACAGCCTGCGTTTCCACTCACTGGAACCACAAATCTTGCCACACTCTCCTTCCAACTACCTCAAATGCAGTACACATCACTTTATCTCTGTAGGGTTGAACAGCAGCTGTTCACTCATATGAGAGAAACTAAAGAAGCAAACCTGAGGAGTTTGCTAAATGTTAGGAGGAAATCTGCCAGCCTACACCATCCCTGATCTGATCTTTTCCCTGGTGGGAGGGGAAAGTATGCGGGACACATTTGGCATTTCCCGACAATATTGTTTGGTAGCTGCTGCAGGAGTGAGCAACTACCAAAACCCTAAGCACAGCGACATCTCATTTTTCCTTTTGCAAAAGGTTGCCAAAGGAACATTGGCTGACAGCAGTCAACATCCCCTGTAACACAGGGTTAGGCCCTGAGTTCATTCCTGTTTTGTTTCTACCATATAAATCAAGGTTGGGAAACTTTGGGTCTGTGGGCCAAAAGTTTGAGTTTGTTTGAAACCTAAACAGCTTATCTCTTATTCCTTTGTAAGTGTTTCTAAAAACCGTTTTTGTAAACTCAGGGAAGCGTTTCAGCCCTGCTCTTTAGTTTGCTGAAAATCATTTAAAATCATTTAAGGTTTACAATGTTCTCATAAATAGGGCTATGTTTAAAACTTGTCATTGAGGTTTTTATACCTTTTTTGTAAACTCAAGGAAGCGTTTCAGCCCTGCTCTTGAGTTTGTTTGAAATCACTTAAAATCATTTCAGGTTAATAAAATTCTTTATTTCCTTCTGAGGAAACTGATTGGTTCAGTGAAACAAGTTTTGTAGCCGGCATCTCATAAAGTCTTTGTTTAATTCTAGGTTAATTTTTCCTTAATTTTTTGTTACTTTTGTTATTTAATTCAATTCTATAGTTGATTACGTCTCGTTTCAGGGATTTTCACAGCAATTCTTTTGTTTTGTTTTGTGTAATTTCTTGGTTCCATGACTGTATTTTTTTCACCGAAGGTGGCCCTCTAGGCTGCTGTCTCTGGCCCTTAGAATTCTCCCCAGGCCACAGCCCTCACTGGACCTCCAAGTGTATTTGCTTGGCTGAGTTGTGTCCTTGAACATAACATACCCTCCAATATTCTTCTGATGAAAATCAGGAAATGCGTCTTTTCGGTGCTGTGCTTCCATGCAAGTCAGCAGGCTCATGCGAGAGCACAGCTCTGAAAGATCTCCCTGAACTCAGTGGTGGCAGTGCTGGAGAGGGAGAAATTGGGACATTCTGCCATCCAATCAGAAGCCAGGATGTCTTCTGTAATTTCAGTATTTCCCAGGAAAATACTGAGGTGTGTGTATAATGCCTCTTGTCTCCCTAGATGGAGCATACAGAGTGGGGGTGGGTGGGTAGGAATTAGCCTACTGCAGAAAGGAAAAACCCACGTGTGGTGCCCTGCCTGCTCCAAAAGAGAAAGGCTGTGTGGAGTAGTGGTTAGAGTGTCTAACTAGGACCTGGCAGGCTCAAGTCCTGAAGCTCACTGGGTGACCTTGGGCCAGTCCTTGTCTTTCAGCCTTTCAGAGGTTGTGAGGATAAAATCGAGATGCACGTGCCTCTGCCTTGAGCTCTGTGGAGCAGAGGTGGGGTATAAATTTAATAACAAATATTAATCCTGCTTTTATTTTATTGTTCCGCTCAAACCGACTCTTTATTTTTATTTTTGTTCCTTTTCAGGATTTCATTTACCACGCAGGTGTCTTTGTCTGCTATTTTGGGACCTTTCTACTGCAAGCGGCAACCACCTCTTTGCATTCTCACCCGGTGAAGTACACCGTCAATTTCGACACCACCAGGAACGTCAGTACCACTAGCTTTGAGACGCTTCTAAGTGAACACGAATACAACTTGAGCATCGCAGCTGCCGTAAGTATTATAAAGGCACATCCTTAAAGGGAGAGGGGACAAGTTTCTCCCTCCTCTTCTCTCTCCTTTGGACCTGTCTTCCTCTCCTGACCATGAGAGGGCTCTGATGGGATACAGTGGTACCTCGGGTTAAGAACTTAATTTGTTCCAGAGGTCCGTTCTTAACCTGAAACTGTTCTTCACTTGAAGCACCACTTTAGCTAACGGGGCCTCCCGCTGCCGCCGCACCGCAATTTCTGTTCTCATCCTGAATCAAAGTTCTTAACCCAAGGTGCTATTTCTGGGTTAGCAGAGTCTGTAACCTGAAGCGTCTGTAACCCGAGGTACCACTGTACTGCAATGCCTTGAGGGCTTACCCAGACTTCCTTTTGTGTTGTGTTCCTAGACAGTGGTCCACGCTTTAAAGCTCTGTGTCCGAGCAGTTACTTCTTTGTCCTGGAGGTTTCCCTGGGGAGGCCCACATTTAATCTTTTTCAGGCCAGAATAATAATAATAATAATAATAATAATAATAATAATAATTTTTATTTATATCCCACCCTCCCCAGCCAAAGCCGGGCTTAGAGCGGCTAACATCATGCAAGTAAGGCAATGCATAAAAACAAGCGATCAATAAATTAAGATACATCCCACAATTAATTCAAACAAATTAAAATTAAAACTGGACAAGTGGCAATCTTCAGGTTAAAACTGAAGGCGGTTACCAACTGTTTTCCACTGATATTATAAGCACCTGTGAGCGGGCTGGGAACCTCCTTCGTGCTTGTTCTTATACAAGGAGAAAATGAGTCAGACTGAACCCTGACTAAAGGCCCGGCAGGCCCTGTGGAAAGATGTCAAATCCCGCAGGGCCCTAGTCTCTTGTGAGAGAGTGTTCCACCAGGCCAGGGCCACAGCCAAAAAGGCCCTGGCTCTGGTCGAGGCCAGTCTGTTCTCTCTGGGGCCCGGAATCTTTAGGATGTTGTTATTTGCAGACCATAAGGTCCTCCATGGGGCATACCAGGAGAGGTGGTCCCGTAGGTACGAGGGTCCTAGGCTGTATAGGGCTTTAAAGGTTAAAACCAGCACCTTCAACCTGATCCTGTACTCCACTGGGAGTACCCTACCCAAGCTTTGCCCACTTTAAGTAGAGAGCCTCCAGTATACCTGAAGGAGCGTCTCCACCTCCATCATTCTGCCTGGACACTGAGGTCCAGCGCTGAGGGCCTTCTGGCGGTTCCCTCACTGCGAGAAGCCAAGTTACAGGGAACCAGGCAGAGGGGCTTCTCGGTAGTGGCACCCACCCTGTGGAATGCCCTCCCCCCCCCAGATGTCAAAGAGAAAAATAACTAACAAACTTTTAGAAGACATCTGAAGGCAGCCCTGTTTAGGGAAGCTTTTAATGTTTAATAGGTTATTGTATTTTAGTGTTTTGTTGGAAGCCGCCCAGAGTGGCTGGGGAAACCCAGCTAGACAGGTGGGGTATAAATAATAAATTATTATTATTATTATTATTATTATTATTATTATTATTATTATTGGAAAGCGCTCTTGAGCATCGCCTGCTGAGAAGGCATCAGGGAGTTTGAGGTGCTCAGTGTGCAAGGGGCAGCTTTCTCAGGGAAGAACAACTTATTGGTTGGTGTCTCTGGTGGTTTGCAGGTGGGGGGAGGCTGCCAGGGCGATTTCCCAGGTGCATTTGGGGGGGGGGCGTGCTGCTCACACCCCTGTTCCCGAGCCAGCCCTGTTCTACCTTGTGAGGCTGGAATCTGATCAAAGCAGGGCTGGCTCAGGGAGGGCGGAGCGAAAAGGACGCAACAGCCTTGCGCCCTTCGATCCCAGCTCCTCGGTGGCGAAGCCACATGCAAGGGGCGCATGGCATTCTTTTCAGGCCGCCCTCTCCAAGCCGCTTTCCAAAGCTTCACAAAGTGGCACAGTCCTGGTGTCGCTCTGGCGGTGAGAGCTGGTATGTCATGCAACGGGTTCCTTCTGCTTTGCGTCCCCCTCCCTGGGCACACACATGCGCTTTAGGCGCAGTTAAAGCACGCTCCGCCACTGGTAGTTTGAAGGCCTCGGGTTGGAGGGGTTGCAGCTGAAGCCTGGAGTCCAGACCTAAACCTGGGTTCAACCCCTCCATGGCTTGCACTGCTGGTTTTCCTGATGCAGCTGGTTCTTTCTGCTCTCTGTCAGAATCTTAGTTGCTGTATAGCAGGCATTTCCAACAGGTAGATAATCTACTGGTAGATCACGGGGGTGTCCCAGGTCAATCGCCACCCCCCAGGTCGATCTCCCTCCCCCCCAAAAAAGTTCAACAACTTTTGCTTCCTAAAACAACCTTGGTAAAGGTAAAGGGTAAAGAGAGCCCTGACCATTAGGTCCAGTCGTGGCCTACTCTGGGGTTGCGGCGCTCATCTCACTTTATTGGCCGAGGGAGCCGGCGTACAGCTTCTGGGTCATGTGGCCAGCATGACTAAGCCACTTCTGGCGAACCAGAGCAGCACACAGAAACGCCGTTTACCTTCCCGCCAGAGCGGTACCTATTTATCTACTTGCACTTTGACGTACTTTTGAACTGCTAGGTGGGGCAGGAGCAGGGACCAAGCAACGGGAGCTCACCGCATCATGGGGATTCGAACCACGACCTTCTGGTCGGCAAGTCCTAGGCTCAGCAATGGGTAGATCACTGCCAGTTTTTTTTTAATAGTGGGCGTCCCTGCTGTATAGTGTCAGGATTATGACACTTCCTTGTTTGGGAAGCCTTGACTAGTGATGACCAGGCTTTTTTTTGGCAAGTGTCAGTGCTATGGATGAGAGGGAGGGAGGGAAAGAGAAAGAGAGAGAACACCACACCCTGGTGGTTTTGCCTGTGGTTTTCGAAGCTGCAAAACAGGTTAACAGAGCAAGAGTGAGTAGGAAATCCATAATGTGGAGCTGAATTGATGCTGAGCTGACCCCATGGGTCAAGCTACTGCTCTTCACTACTGCTGCCTGTGCCACTTTTGCAGTGCTTAAATTGGGGGCAGGGCAGGGAGAGGAGCTGTGCCCCCTTAGGAGTTGCGACTGACCCTCTTGGCTACATAGGAAGCTGCCTTATTTTGGCTCATAGTCTTTGCCCATCAAGCCCAGTGCAGCTTGCTCGGACAGGCAGCAACCCTCCAGCATCTATCCCACCGCTTCCTATAACCCGACCCCTTTAACAGGAAGTGCCAGCTATTAAACCTGCGACCTTCTCTGAGGAAAGTATGTGTTTCTCCACTGAGCCACACTCCTTCCCCTGAGAGGCTGTGGGAAGGGCTGGAGCATTTCTCTAATGTCCAGCCAGGCTTCTTGGGCCCCCTTCCCCATTAATGCTTGACACATGGGCCATTTCTGGTGATGTCCGGCTATCCAAACACTGACAAATGACTATCCATGGTTCTCCTCCTGTTCTTCATCTGTTTCTTCAAAGGGTCCTCTTGAGCTTTCTCCCTCCCATTATGGCTTTTATAGGACTCCAGTCCTCAATCCACCCGTAAGGTGGACCCCTGGGGACACACAGTGCAGATTAATAATCATTTCTCCTCTCCAGGAAACCCTGAAAGCTGTAAGTCAGGGGCAGCCAACATGGCATCCTTCAGATTCTGTTGGACTACAACTCCCATCATCCCTTGCCATTGGGACTTCCCACAACATCTGAAATCCCACAGCATCTGAAATGTGCTGTGTAGAGTACTCCTGTTGCAATGTTTCTGAGAATGACATACTAGAGAATACTAATATTTCACCAGACTACAACACCCAAGATTCTTTGGAGGGATCCATGACTAGTTAAACCTGTCTAAAATGTATGTTGTTGTTGTTTAGTCATTTAGTTGTGTCCGACTCTTCGTGACCGGAGCACGCCAGGCACTCCTGTCTTCCACTGCCTCCCATAGTTTGGTCAAACTCATGCTGGTAGCTTCAAGAACACTGTCCAACCACCTCTCCCTTTGTCATCCCCTTCTCCTTGTGCCCTCCATCTTTCCCAACATCAGGGTCTTTTCCAGAGAGTCTTCTCTTCTCATGAGGTGGCCAAAGTAAGGCTAAATCCTCAATGTCTGCTTGGACACCCACTTGAGTCACTGCCCTGGTTCCTTGTGACCCAAAAGGGGCGAATATCATGCGCAATCAGGGATTAGTTATCTTTTTATAAGAACAAAACCTGGGTTGCATTGCTAAGCATGCTTACGTAAGGATACACTTTGAACTTGGTGGGGCTGGTGCTCAGATAGATCTGCTTTATTACCAAGGCATTAGGGAGACATCAAAGCCATTAAGCAATCTATGGAGCACAGTCCCAACGTTAGAAAGAAACCTGGATTACGTTTTCCCTTTAACCCTTGGAGAGGTTTCAGGTTGAGAATTAATGCCAAACTTATATAACCAAAGTTGATCTCATCCACATTATTTTAGGGTGACTCACCTTAATGGCGTTGATGAATAGGTAGATCAAAGAACATGTTATTCAGGGAATCTCCCAGCAAAATTTCTCTCTCTCATTCTCTCTCTCTCTCTCTCTCACACACACACACACACACACTTTTCCTTTGTGAAACCTGAGGAATACTTTACTATCCCACCGACCCAACAGGAGCAGTTTTGCAGGTCTTTAAAAATGTGTTGCTCTTCGCATTATTTTCTTTTAAAGTGATGATGTTTTAAGTGCCCTTTTAAGTGAGGGGAAATGGGAGGTTGGGGTTGGAAGAGAGCAGGCTCCTGCCTAAAGCTTGGAGGTGGGCCACTGGCGGAGGAAGAGGAGTGAGGGGGGAGTGCACCACCCCCGGCAGCATGATCCTGGTAGGGTGCCATTGTGGCTGCCTGCCCCCACGCTGGGCAGCACGCCCCGCCCCCAGGACGCGCGCCAGCCCTGCCCCCACCTGCTCTCTGCCCCCCAGTGCCGGAGCATGAAGCTCTGCCACTGAGGTGGGCAAGCCACTGTGGTCAATGTTGGGGTCACTAATAGTAATAATAATAATAATAATAATAATAATAATAATTTATTTATTTATACACCACCCTCCCCTGCCAGAGCTGGGCTCAGGGCGGCTAACACCAATAAAATTACAATAAAACCTAATGGGGGGGGGAACAGTTTATTAAAATACAGTGGTACCTCGGGTTAAGAACTTAATTCGTTCTGGAGGTCCGTTCTTAACCTGAAACTGTTCTTAACCTGAGGTACCACTTTAGCTAATGGGGCCTCCTGCTGCCTTCGTGCGATTTCTGTTCTCATCCTGAAGCAAAGTTCTTAAACTGAGGTACTATTTCTGGGTTAGCGGAGTCTGTAAACTGAAGCGTATGTAACCCGAGGTACCACTGTACGGGTTAAAATACAATTTAAAATGCAGCCTCATTTTAATAGTAGCCCATAGGCGTATTTGTTGAAGGACCGACTCATTCAATGGCTGCTAACCATGATGTTTTCCCTCCCCTGTCGGAGGCAGTATAGCTCTAAATACCAGTTGGTGGGCATCACAGGTGGAAAGAGTGCTGATCTGCTCAGATTCTGCTTGTGGGGTTCCTATGAGCATCCAACAGGATGCTGGACTAAATGGGTCCTCGCCTGATCCAGCAGGAACTGCTCTTTGTGTTCGTATGTATTCATTTATAGGGAGAACCCAGACTTGCAGGCCAAAAAAAAACCACAGTGAGTCCTGCCAAATAGTATTTCTGCATCACTCCACTTTCTGTTTAAAACATCTTTTTTCTCCAAGGAGAACGTGGTTCACCCCCTTCCCCTCCTTAGTTAATCCCTACAATGACCCTGTGAGGTAGGTTAAGAGGTTGTGACTGACTCCAGTGAGCTTCATAACCGAATTGGTGATTTGAACCTGGATCTCCCAGGTCTTAGTCCAACACTCTAATGCAGGTGTCGGCAAGGTTTACCTCGCCTGGGCCGGTTCACTCCAGCAGAGATCCCTCCATGGGCTGAAATGCATTCGCGGCCGCAATTTCCGGCATCTGCATCTGCCCAGACACGATTTCCAGATGCGATTTTCAGCATCTGAGCATGCGCAGACGCAATTTGCGGCACTGCAGAAGTGAGTCCTCGCGCCGCGCTGCACCGGTTTAGCGCAGCGCACGGGGACTCACCAAGTGGGCGACTTGGTTCAGGGGTGGCTCGTGGGCCAGTTAAACGACCTCCGTGGGCCACTTGTGGCCCATGGGCCTTAGGTTGCCTACCCCTGCTCTAATGACTGCATCACACTGGCTTCCTAAAGAACTTATGCTATGAGGCAGCTGTATAAATTAAGCAGGCAACTAAATATGGGGAAAGGGAAAAGTCAGTTAGAGAAGGACCTGAAATATTTCTCTTGTAGCTGGAATTTGTTTTGTTCTCGATTGTTTTATTTGATGTTTTAATGTGTTGTAAACCGCTTTGAGGTTTTTTTTCTTTAAAATATCAAGTGGCATAGAAATGAAACGAATAATAATAATAATAATACAGTCGTACCTTGGAAGTCAAGCGGAATCCATTCCGGAAGTCCGTTCCGACTTCCAAAACGTTCGGAAACCAAAGCACAGCTTCTGATTGGCTGCAGGAAGCTCCTGCAGCCAATCGGAAGCCGCAGAAGCCAAGTCAGACATTCGGCTTCCAAAAATAGTTCAAAAACCGGAACACTCACTTCCGGAAAGCCAATTTGCTTGGGAGCCAAGGCATTTGAGATCCAATGTACGACTGTAATAATAATAAATCTCACTGCAAAAAAGGTGCCTAGGCATTCCGTTGTGGCAAGCATAACATCGATTTAAGGAGCCATGTGATGATTAGCTCATATATCTGAGTTTCTGATTGGGAGGGAAGAGGGATTTGAAATCTAGTGGAACAGCCAATTTTCTACAGGAAAACTCACCTGGCGCTTTCTTCCTCCCTCTGCAGATCTTTGCCTTTGCAACAACTGTGTGTTATGGCTGCAGCACTACCCTGGCTCTACGAAGATGGAAGCTATAGCACTAGAAGCGACAAGGCAGCTAAAGGGCATCCCGTCTCGTTTGCGTACTTGTTCCGATGATCAAATGATGTACTACTTGTGGAGTTGCAAGGATGCTTGGAACACATTTATATTTTTCTAAGATGTTGACACACACAAACATACACAAGAAGTCTATGTCATAATTATATATGTGTGTATATAATATATATATATAATATATATTTGGACAAGGGTGGGGGGAAACTTGCTTGTTTATTTCTCCAGTTTTCAGTTGCTTATGTTAACTGATTTCCCGGGAGCGTTACCCTCTGCTGCAGATAGTATTATAAAGCTGAGTGATGGAATAGGGTTATCGTCGGCAGACAACTGCGTACTTTTTTTTTTGGTGCTAAACATCTGCTTGCAAGAAAAGCAAACATCTCTGCAGACGGGCTGTGTCTCTCGCACACACGCAAACACAGGGAGGCAGCTATGAAACGATAACCCGCTGAGCATCCGCCTGAAAGCTAAGTGTGTTCACAGGCCTGCCAACATCAGCAGCTAAACACAACCTCCATTTATTTCAGTGCGGCATCCTTTGGCAACCTGGTTCCCTCCAGATGTTGTTTTGGTCCAGCTCCTATTAATTGTCATTCCACAACATCTGTAGGTTGGCAAAAGGTGCAGTGGGGACTGTGCTGGACTAGGGCTACCAACTCCCTGGGTTTGTCCCCGAGTTGGGTTTTGCAGTCAATTCTCGAGGCCATTGGATAGTGTCAAACTGCTGCCTTTGAATCTTGAGTCTAGGAGGTTTTCAGTAGTATTCCTCTAAAACAGTATAAAAGTAGCTCACCATTCTGAAAGAGAAAAGGTGTAAACTTTTCTATCAATGTTTCCCCAGATTTCCAGTTTCTCCAGTGGGAAAACCAGGGAGGAAATTTATCCAACCCCATATTAATTTCCCCCTGTTTCCCTTGATCTTCACATCTGTAAGTGCCACCACTCTGAGCCCCTTTTAGCTCTCTTTTCATGAACTGGCAGCTCCATTCTGAGGCGTTGGGATTCCAGAGATCTGTCCAACGCCATGTGGGATTTCCGTGGAAGTCTCTTGAAATCATTTAACAATTTCTCAGGAGCCATGCTAGGTGGGTTCTCCTAATGCTCTTGAACTGATATCTATGCAGGCAGTAAATGTAATATTTTTTCAGAAAGTTGATTCCCCCCTCCCTTTTTTTTTTACTTTAAAAAGAAAGTAATTTATGGAAAGGTGGGTGGGTGGGGGAGTCTTTTAATATTCATTAAGTCCTTATATAAGGATCTAGTTTTAGTTTTTAAACTGTACCTTTCACCTGTAATCTTCAAGGCATTTTAGATAAAAAATTTCTTGCCTAAGAGGAAAGAGTTAGGTAAGCAACATACTCAAAGTTTTAACATTAGCAGAGAATGAAAGTGTACTTTAAAAAAAAAGGCAAGCCAGGAATATTAATTGGTTGGATTTGAAATCATGACAACTAGCTAATTCAATAACCATATAGATCTCAAAAGTCGGGCTCTTTCTATCTGGTATTTGTTGGGCTGATAATATTAATATTTTTTACAGCTCTGAATTTAAATTGTATATCAAAATTCCTTTTTGAAACAATTTGTGTTTCTTCAAGGGAAATAGTTATATTCAGTTTTAAATACATACCTGTACTGATTAGCACTGTAGTTCATATGATCCACGCACAAAACAGGCATATTGTTTCAACTGTGTGTGGGCTGTATAAACTTGGATTTTATTTCTTACTTCTCCTGGTCCTGCGTGTCTTACTGCAACAATATGGAGTCCCTTTCCAACTTTTGGAGGCAAGATCTGGAAAGTGCCAATGTCTAAACTCATATTATCTAATTTATAATGTGGACTCCCGCACTTATCAGAAACGGCTTTAGATTTTGAAAGCCAATAGCTTCTTGCATTGACAAATTTTGTTTCAGCATCATGTATTTATATTGCAGAGCACCTCTAAAGCATTGTTCTCAGTGTGGGCAAAAATGTATATTTGTGGTCAACTGTTGTGCAGATTTCTTCCTTGAATATAAATGTTTGCACTATTTCACCTGGATGGGCAAGTTCTTAACCCATTTATGCTTTCTGTAAGTGTGGCATTTACGCTTTATTCTAATGAAAGTTTCTTAAAGATCATGTGAATGGAACTGAGCCCAGATCTCCAGTTTGACTTCTTTGCATTGCCTCATTTTGTTGTGCTGCAAGACACCACGAACCAAAGGAAGGCATCGCCACTGCCTGAAACCAATGTTGAAATGGGAAAATGCAGCCTACACAGGCAATTGGTAGAGGATTAGGGGCTCTGGATAGGAAACAGGCTGGATCCAGTCTAGGCATGGCAGCCTAGACAAGATAAAGGTAGTAATTGGGTTTGGAGTGCAATTTTGAGAGGAAGCGGCAGAGTCCTATTGACTGGAGCAGGGACCTAAGCAATAAACAGCTTCACAAGTCAAGGGAAGGGCTGTGGCTCAGTGCTAGAGCATCTGCTTTGCATGCAGAAGGTCCCAAGTTCAATCCCCGATATCTCCATGTATGGCTGGGAGAGACCCCCAACTGAAATCTTGGGAGAGCTGCTGCCAGCCAGTGTAGAAAATACTGAGTTAGATGGACCACTGCTCTGACTCAGGGGACGCGGGTGGCGGTGTGGTATAAACCACTGAGCCTCTGGGGCTAGCTGATCAGAAGGTCGGTGGTTCGAATCCCTGCGATGGGTTGAGCTCCTGTTCCTCTGTCCTAGCTCCTGCCAACCTAGCAGTTCGAAAGCACACCAGTGCAAGCAGATAAATAGGTACCACTGCGGCGGGAAGGTAAACAGTGTCTCCGTGCGCTCTGGCACTCGTCACAGTCTTCTGTGCGCCAGAAGCGGTTTAGTCATGCTGGCAACATGACCCGGAAAGCTGTCTGTGGACAAACGCCGGCTCCCTCGGCCTGAAAGCGAGATGAGCGCCACAACCCCATAGTTGCCTTTGACTGGACTTAACTGTCCAGGGGTCCTTTACCTTTTTTTTTTGCTCTGACTCAGTATAAGGCAGCTTCATATGTTTCACAAAGAAAGGGTACCGGAAAGGAGACGAAGAGATCCAAATGTACAGTGGTACCTCTGGTTGCGAACGGGATCTGTTCCGGAACCCCGTTCGCAACATGAGCAGAACACAACCTGCGCCTGCGCGTCGCGATTCGCCGTTTCTGTGTATGCGTGTGATGTCATCTTGAGCTTCTGCGCATGCTCGAGCAGCGAAACCCGGAAGTAACCCTTTCCGGTACTTCCGGGTCGCCGCAGGATGCAACCTGAAAACGCTCAACCTGAAGCAAACGCAACATAAGGTATGACTGTATTGGCGAAGACAGAATCTCCCCCTCTCTCTTTGATTGGTGCGTTCAGGTTTCCCTCTTGCCTTTGAAGCTGGCTCTGAAGTTTTGCGAAGTCGTTTGTACCTTACTCGAGTCACAAACGCCTTAAACCTGGGCTAGTAAGTTGGGTGAGGAGAAAGGGAGCTCTGTTGTCAGGAGGTTCAAACTGGATTTGTGACTCAACTAACTGAACCACAGCTGCTGCGGGGAGACTTTCTCAAAAGGAAGAAGGGAATTAACCTTTTCGTCTGCTTTGCCTCCAGCCTGGATAGTTCAGCAGAAGCATTTCCTGTTTGGCCTGGGAGCGCCAGGAAAATAAACTGCCAAGGCCTCTCCCTCCAGTTAAATAATACTCTCCCACCTCGTAATCCTGCTGCTGCTGAAGCATTTGTGCTTGTGGCATATTGTGCCAATGAGAAAGGAAACTTGAGGACTTGTAGGAGCTTTCCAAGCCATGGGACGGAGCTCAGTGGATAGGAAGGTTCAGGACAGGCAAAAGAAAGAGTTTTCACACAGCACACAGTTGATCTTTGATTCTTCTTGTGTTTTTATGCCTCAATTGCCAAGGTGAGTGTTTGCCATTAATGCTGTCACAGCTAATGCACCACCAGAGAACTGAGTTGCCATTTATTTTCCTGATTTGTATATTTAATTCATTGTGCATATCCCAGGCTTGTTTTTTTTATAAAAAAATTAATCCCTAAAAATTCCAGCACTACTCTCTCTCTCTCTGTCTCTCTCTCTCTCTCTCTCTCTCTCTCTCTCTCTTTGTGTGTGTGTGTGTGTGTGTGTGTGTGTGCATATGCATGTTGGACTGGTGTTGTTGTTTTTTAAAAAACAAACAAACACCAATCTTGTGACAAACAAGTTTTGAATGCTCACAAAGAAAGTTATTAAAACCAGAACTCTAAACACTGACTTTGTTTTTTGTGTTGTATAAAAATGATGTTTCGTTATATGTTCCGCACTACACATACATGTTCTGAGCTCCATTAAAAAGTGACCCAAATATTTGGTGGCTGAAGCTACTGAGGAGTTCAAGACGCACAAGAAAAGTGTTATCTTTTCTTTTTAATGTTTTAGTTAGAAACAGTTCGGAATTGCAAGATGGAAGATGAGACTCGTAGCGGCCTTTCCACAGCAGGAACCTCCTGTTGATACTGGAGAAGAAAAAGATACAGACTCGAATTAGTGGGTCTTAAGTTACAGGAGGACAAACTTTGATTGAATGCTAGCAGAATCTTCCAGAAACTTGGCAATGGGATTAGTTACCAGCTGGGCCTCCCCCTTCCTGGAGGTCTTCAGGTAGAGGCTGGGCAGCCCTCACCCCTGTGAGGTAGACCCAGAGATAGTGACTGGCTCACAGGGATTTGAACGCTGCCCTTCCAATAAACTCAGCATTTGGGCTTTCCCTGCTGCAGCTTTTGCCAACGTGGCACCCTTCAGATGTTGTTGGACTACAATTCCCAGCACCCCTGTGGTCAGCCGCAACCTAGGCACTGTGGTTCCCATGGATTCCTGCAGCCACTATCTTCTCCTGTGGCTGCTTTTCATTATTGCGCCACCCTAGCTGCAAACGCCTCCGGCCCGTGAATGAAGAGTTTGTTGTGATTCTCTCCAAGCAGGAGTTTGTCGGCCAAGACGCACGCCCCCTCTCAGCTCAAGTGATAGAAACTTGATTGAACCGCAGACAAGGACCTTGTCAAACTCCCTTTTCCAGCCGCCTCAAGTGGAGCTGTTAGATGAGTGCCAAGTGCACTTCAGCTCTTCCACGAAATAAGAATCAACTTGCAGCTGTTGATCCTGGAAAAGTGCTGTTTGAGCTAGTGAGGATTCTCTCCAGCTGCACACCTCCCCCTTGCCTTATACAGTCGTACCTCGGGTTAAGAACTTAATTCGTTCTGGAGGTCCGTTCTTAACCTGAAACTGTTCTTAACCTGAAGCACCACTTTAGCTAATGGGGCCTCCCACTGCCACCGTGCCACCGCTGCACAATTTCTGTTCTCATCCTGAAGCAAAGTTCTTAACCCGAGGTACTATTTCTGGGTTAGTGGAGTCTGCAACCTGAAGCGTATGTAACCTAAAGCATATGTAATCCGAGGTACCACTGTATTGTGAAATACACCGAGTGAAAATGTACCTCCAGGCTGGTGGAGGTTTTTGTTGTTGTTGTTGTTGGCTTTTTGTTTTGTAGCCTGCAACTTAGGCCACATTCTCCTCATATATTTAAAGCACTATAATACCACTTTTTGGACGCGAGTGTCGCTGTGGTCTAAACCACTGAGCCTCTTGGGCTTGCCTATCGGAAGGTCAGCGGTTCGAATCCCTATGACGGGGTGAGCTCCTGTTGCTCTGTCCCTGCTCCTGCCAACCTAGCAGTTCGAAAGCACGTCAGAGTGCAAGTAGATAAATAGGTACCGTTCCTGTGGGAAGGTAAACAGTGTTTCCATGCGCCGCTCTGGTTTTGCCAGAAGCGGCTTAGTCATGCTGGCCACATGACCCGGAAAAACTGTCTGCGGACAAACGTTGGCTCCCTCGGCCAATAAAGTGAGATGAGCGCCACAAGCCCAAAGTCGTCCGCAACTGGTCTTAGCTGTCAGGGGTCCCTTTACATGTACCTAATACCACTTTAAACAGTCATGGATTCCCCCAAAGAATCATAGGAGCTGTAGTTTTGGCTCCTATGCCATTCACAGCCACGTTTCCCAGAGTGGGTTAAAAACCAATCCATCTTCATGTCTGAGAATGTAGCTCTGTGAGAGGAATTGGGATCCCCTAACAAACTATGACTCCCAGAATTCAGAGGCAGGATTTAAACAAGGGACTTCTTGCTTCATAGCCTTCTCATCCACAACACTTCCTCATTCTATCTGCTGCCACGCCGCCAGAGCACGATTTCTGTTCTCATCCTGAAGCAAAGTTCTTAACCCGAGGTACTATTTCTGGGTTAGCAGAGTCTGTAACCTGAAGCGTCTGTAACCCGAAGTACCACTGTACCAAGGTTGCATCCTCTTTTCCTCCTTACTGATGTGTACTGTAGTATCTGGGCTTGCTGCTATTGTGCCATAAACATTGACATATCCACTGGTCTCATAAGCAGCCATTGGGAACAGGTAGTAGCTTCGCATGCCGGTGGTCTCAGGTGCAATCCCAGACATCTGCAGGTAGGGCTGGAAGACACCTCTGTCTGAATCCTTAGAGAGCTAATGCCAGTCAGGGTACTGTAGACAACCCTGAGCTAGCTTCCTATGTTCCTAAGGTGAAGCGACAGGTGTCGCCTGTTGCTGTGTCTTTGTAGTTGTTACTGAGGTGGGGAGCAGCCCCCCGCTCACTCTGCTAGCCAACCACAGACCACAGAAAAAGCACAGACTAAACTACTCATACTGGACCGGCGATAGATAGGGATAGAGAGATAGAGGTAGAGATAGAGACAGAGATACACACACTGTCCTGGGAACCACCGTGAGACCTCCCGGTATAGGGCAGTATATTACAGTGGTACCTCGGGTTACAGACGCTTCAGGTTACAGACTCCGCTAACCTAGAAATAGTACTGTGGGTTAAGAACTTTGCTTCAGGATGAGAACAGAAATCGTGCAGCAGCGGCCCGGCAGCAGCGGGAGGCCCCATTAGCTAAAGTGGTATCTCAGGTTAAGAACAGTTTCAGGTTAAGAACGGACCTCCGGAACAAATTAAGTACTTAACCCGGGGTACCACTGTATTATTATTATTATTAAAAAATAAAATAATAATTATTATTTATACCCCATCCATCTGGCTGGGTTTCCCCAGCCATCCTGGGCGGCTCCCAACAGAATATTAAAAACATGATAAATGTGGTTGAGAAGGTAAACTACATCATGGTTACATCATGGTTACATCATGAAAGGGGAGGTCTGGTGGCAGTAATTTGAGCATCCTGGACCCTGCCCCATGGTTCCCCTTGCCCTCCACCAAACACCCATCAAGTGTAACGAAATAGATATTTATATTTCCCTGTTTCCCAGCCAAGTTAATCACACCCTTTTGCCTACATCTGGGTTTGTTATTTCTGGAATGGCTACCTGTCTGGCACTCAGGTATCAGGATGCCAGGAATTATCCCTCAGGCAGAGGGGCTGCTGAGTAGCTGAGCTCACATGTCTATATGAATTTCTGAAGTTTTCCCAGTGAGCTAGTACATAGATACATTTATCAGTGAATTGTTACAGTTGGTATTGTGCAGCAGAGGCCCTTTGAATAGATAGGAAGAAACCGTGATGAAGTGTTTTGTGGGGACAAATCACAAAAGTCACAAAAGTGGTTGTGCTGATTTTGGTAGTGGGCTGCATGTGCATGATATCTGCTGGAGAGGCAACCCTCCCAACCTATACATAAATTCCTGCAACAATTCTAAGGCCCCTTTTTACTTTCTCAAGAACATTTCTAAAGCCACCCCCTCTTTGTACCTTCACCCCATTGCCATGCCTCTTCCTCCCTTCCCTCTTACCATATCACCCCTCAAAATGCCTCCTTTGTTCTGCAACCATGTTCACCTGCCCCAGCCCCAGTTCCTCCTTCCCTCCAGCTTTCTCCCTTCAGAGGCCTAAAAACTGTCACACACATGCCTCCCTTTCTCCCATATTTCTCCTCATTCTTCCAAATGCCTCCTTTACCTCCCAGTCTCCTCCAGTTCCTTCTCTCTCCCTTTCCACCACCATCAAAGGACCCCTCCCTCTCATTCTCTCTCTCTCACACAGACATCTTCCACCCAGCCAGCAGGTTTTCAGTTGTCTTCCCCAGCCCTACCTGGGACCTTAAATCTTGTGTTTGAGTCCTACTTGTAGGTTTCCCATAATGGGCATCTGGCTAGTGAAATAAAAAAAATTTAAGGTCTTCTATATATATAATAAATGTTCATAACTGCATATATAAACCACATGTCTGAAACCCCACAGAAAAAGTCCTGAAACCATTTTGTCCCTCCCAAATTGACCTCAAATATTTCTCTGCAAAGTTGAAGGGAAATGGAAAAGCCTCCCCATTGTCTTTTCCTTCACAAATCCTGTCTTAAGGGTATGTCTGTGTATGAATAGGGTGAGCCTGTCACCTGGCTCAGGAACTATGTACAGTGGTGCCTTGCAAGACGAAAATAATCCATTCCGCGAGTCTCTTCATCTAGCGGTCTTTTCGTCTTGTGAAGCAACCCTATTAGCGGATTAGCGGATTAGCGCTATTAGCGGTTTAGTGGTTTAGCGGCTATTAAAGGCTTAGCGGCTTAGCGGCTAAAAGGCTATTAGTGGCTTAGCGGCTTAGAAAAAGGGGGGGGGGAGCGAAAAAAATTGCAAGACTCACAAGACGTTTTCGTCTTGCGAAGCAAGCCCATAGGGAAATTCGTCTTGCGAAGCGCATCGAAAAACGGAAAACCCTTTCGTCTAGCGGGTTTTTCGTCTTGCGAGGCATTCGTCTTGTGGGGCATCACTGTATTTATCATTACAAAAGACTGGCCAGGCTCCCCAGGGTATCCAATCAAGTGACCATCAACAGGTAACCTGCCAGACAGGAGATAAACAACGCACTCAGATTTTTGTTGTAGACCGCCCTTTGTGTGATGTAGGTATGATGTATCTGGAGGGTGGTCTTGAGCTACACCCTTTTCTGTGCTATATGTATGATGTTTCTGGGGGTGGTCTTGAGCTCCAGGGCAGGGCAATTTAAAATGTCTATATAAGGGCAGGCACACCTTGGTTCAAGGTCCTCCTCCTTTCCTGCATGTGAGGGGAGCAAGCACCTTGTTGCAATAGTTCAATAAAGATCAGGCTTACGAGCTGCTTTGCTTCCCAATATTCTCTGGTTGGCCTCTGTTATTTTCTCTGACTGATGGAGAACCCACAAAGGACTCTATTAGGGCTCTTGTGTCCCCCATAAGGGAATAAGGAC